TACATAGTCCATTATATTTAGACATATTTTTGGCATAGAAAGTGATCGGATTGGAGAATGATGTCTGAATCAAAGTTGTAGCCAGATGGGTTAGCTTTCCAACGCATTTTGAATCGTCTCAATCGGATATCAGAATATAAAGTTATGATAAAAACACTGAAAGAAGGTGCAGCTGTCTGTTTAAAACAAGAAATTTCGTTACATAGTCCGTTAAAACAACAAATTTCGTTAGTTTTTCCGTTAAAAACAAGAAATTGCGTTACATAGTCACTCTTAATATATAGAAGATATAGAGGAAAATCATTACCATGGGAATGTTATAAATATTTCGATGGATAAGCATCTAGGACTGCTTACAGAGGATCCATCATCCATGCTACAATGCGTTATTTTTGTAATTATGTGTCCAAAATATTCAAAGTTGGTTGAATAAATTTAATTTTTAAATAATAAAATAATTAATGGCTTTTCTTGTTATTTGATATTAAGCAGATTGTAATCCCTGTTGTAAATAACCTTAAAACGTTGGTTAAAATATCGATTCATTATAAATGTAAATGTTATTCTAAAAAGGAAAAAACAAAACAAAAAATCTAACTGAAAACATGTCAACGGTTGGATAAATTATTAATTAATGCCATTGAAAATTAGAGGGTGAGCATAACTAAATTGTACTTCGGCATTAATCTATAAGGATTCAACGCCCATGTGCAATGGTACGAAAGGCTACTTCTCCAATAACATAAGGATCATAACTTTTCACACCCTACATTTGATAATACAAAAGAAATAAATAGAAAATAGGCTTACCATTTTCAGTGCCCCATTATGATCAACTTTGTGGTTCATTAATGAATTTTTACCCTTTACTAGTCTTCTTTTTTATTGCATTTGATTCTCCATTCATGACACCAACCTAAAAGCCAAAGGCTAGGAAATGCAGTGCAGCAGATCAGAAAGGATACAATATGGTGTTAGGGAAATATTCACCTCATTTGAATCAACCCCTTTGATTCTACTGCATTCCAATAGTCATCAGATTTGATTTGATCAAATCCAAAACCTTTGGTTTATGTTTGTGCTTTTGCTTTTTTTAAAAGAACTTCTAGAAAAAAACCACCTTGTATCAGCTTCCTGCAAAATCTTTTCTAATACAATTTCAGCATCACAATATGATATCAAGATACGCTCTTTAGTTTTAATTTTCTATTTTTCTATTCACATCTTTCCTCCACATATTGCCAATCAAATTGCTTAGCTACTTGCTAACTCTACCAACCATGACACATGGTCGTTAGTACTGTATCAACAAGGATGCATAACAATCAGTCTTCCACCCTGTACCCTTGGAGGCATAACCTGCAATTTACCTCCTTCACCAAAGTACACGGCAGAGCAGGTGGGGGCTATCAAGGATGCGGTTCATCCTTTTTTTAGTACTGTATCAACAGTTTTACTTAATTCCGCCATTGGCCATACAGGCATACACGGCCTTGCTAAATTGGGTAAGAAAACAAATACAGCTAGGTTTCAAGTTATGAACCAGCCACTACATCACCTAAAGGACCATCACGGTGAATCACCACACCAAACTCAGCAACCTTGGCATCTCATCGAAACCTGAATAACCAGGTGATGTTAATACATCAACATATCCTCTGCCCATACACATATTACACATGCACGTACTATCTTGCACGAGAGCACAAACTTCCATAACCATCAAGAAAATGACTTCACATGCAAGTTCAAGAAAACAATATAAAGGCTCACCTTTCTCGTGGTTTTCACATGGCGAACAAGGTATAATCATTCATATGGCGAACACGGTATAATCATTCATACCACCATCATACAATGATACCATCTGAGAAGGCTACACAAGAAATTAACAACACACCATTACATTTATGTAACAGAGTACTATACAGTAGAAAGTTGTACTAATATTTCATATTTACAAAGGGATATTTGACTACAAAAGATGATGATATACCCAACTAAGCATAACTTTTTTTACAAATTCTCCTCAGAAAACAGCCTGATGAAATTTCAAAACGAACCTCAGCACGAACGCAAAATACCAGAAGCATTCCTTCTTTTCATCTCTTACTTACACCATTGCAAAGAGGGTTAGCTTCACACTCCCTAAATTATTTTGGTCGATAATCATAACTCATATACTTACATAGACAAGTTGCTTCGGACACTTTGAAATATATTTACACGAGACAAAATGATCAATGATCCCTATTACCCGCTTACTTGATCAAAATGTTTAAAACTTAATCTGCTAAATCAATTGAATCCTTGAGCTTTTCTCAACTTCAGTAGTTCTTTTAATGTACTAGCTTCCGAGGGATTTATCTAAGCCAGGGCAGGGATGCTGCAGTTGCGCCTATCCCTGTCGAGGCAGTCAAAACCCTCAATCCTCACGGCTGGACTGTTACCAAAATTAGCCCGAACACAACCAACTTTACGGGTGGAGGATGGGGACGATGCCAGCCCAGATGGGGTTGGGATTGCTCGTGGGGAAACCGGAGTGACCTTCTCATCCCCAAATCGAGCGTCTTGAATTAGTGGGTTAGATACTCTAATAGGCGGTGACCCTGAAAAAAATGGGGGCGACGAGGCTACCTGTGCAACAGATTGATCAGCACCAAAACCACCCTGCAAATAAGAACAAAACTCCCATAAGATCTCACAATCAAGATGTCAAGATATAAATCATTTCACAAATAAATCAAAATTTTCTGCTCATTCAGTATTTCTAACTCGGAATTTGTTTAGTTTTATCCTCATGTGGTGGATTTTGCAAGCCAAAACAGACCTTCATCTTAATATATGACTTTACTCACATAACAAATTGTTCTACATAAAGCAAAGTACTAAGACTTTTACAAACTCAAAACAGGTTGGACTGTACATCTGATCCAAATATCAAAGTGAAAATTTTTTGTATCGATATAGAGAAATAGAAAATGAACCTTAGCAAAGATGATATCCAGCAATTCATTTCCAGCCTTAGCATCACAAGCCTCCAGTTGATGGCTGTTAAACAGACGCAAAAAAATCACAAGTCAATAAACAAATCTAAGCTGCATAGACTAATAAATAAATCAAGATTATGTAGAGATCATAAAAGGGGTGGCAAAGTAACAAAATTTACCTTGAATGCCATCTCAGAGGTCCGGTGGGAGGGCCATTAAAGGCGGTGGCAGCTTGGATCAGGCCGACACGACGGGGCTTGGGGCAAACCACCGCCTCTTTCATGCCCTTCATCTCTTCACAGGCCGAAAAAGTTTTCTTCTGAATTGTACAGTGATTCATTTTTTTTTTTTACTTCAAGATCTTTTTTATATATATAAATATCACGCCTGCATATTTATCAAAAGATGGAATTTTTAAACAGCAAAGAAATTGGATATGGGAATAACATAAATATCATATAAATTAAACACACAATACTAAGAAAAAAATTGTTCTTTCACTTTTGTTTTTAAGCTAAAATCCAGCCAACTTGGCCAAAGATAAAAACCCAGAAACTTAGCCGGCGGAGATTTTGGACTTGTTCTTATAGACAAAGATAAAAAAAAAAAATTTGATAATCCATATAATATTAAATTAATTTAGAAGAACCCTATACAGATCTGTTGTAAAAATCGAAACTTTTGTTTTCTTTTAAAATTACATAATTATTCCCCTTGTGCTTGAGGTGTAACAGATCAAACAAAATCTGGTGACTATTAGATTTTATATGTAGAGCAAGTGAATCTTTTCTTGGAAATTAAGAGAATAATTGGCAATTTTCAGCTACCTTTATGAATTAAAACTTGATCTGATATTTAAACGGATCTGTACATGAATTTTAAATTTTCATATGATACTTCGGTTCTTTAAAGGGGAAAAATTAACTTGAACAGATCACTTGCGAAAAAAACTCAAAAAGTGTTAATTCTTGTTCACCAGGAACTCATCTTTCTTCCAAGAAAAAATAAAAAATCATTCAGAATCAAGATTTTCCAACAACAGAGCTGAAAAAAAATGAATTGAAGCAAAGCTTCATCTGGGTTTTCACAAAACTTGAAAAAAAAATCAGAAACAAGAGCTAGACCACCTACTTTTCCACTACAAGAAGGTAGAGAGAGAGAGATTACCTGAAAGGGCTATACAAAATTGTATGTGGCTCCTCTAACAAAGAGGATTTCAAATCAAAATAGAAGAAAAAATATAAATAAATAAAGAAGAAAGAGGAGAAGACAGAAATGGAGATAACAAATACAGGGGACGAGAACGATGAGGCCTTAGGCACGAGAAAAAAAGGTCGATGAAGTGGGGCTATAGGGCATTTAAAGAAGGAAAAAAAATCAGAAATCAAAAAATTTAAATATTAATTAATTTATTTAAAAAAAAAGGATTAGTATCTATGGAGTAAATGTGCGTGGGAGACAGCAACTGATACAAGGCTGCAAAAAGAAATAGTTATTAGTATAATTATTATTAAAGTAATTGGATTTGGAGGAGCGTTTGAGAAATTTTCTGAAGGTCGGTGCAAGAAAAAATTATTTGACAGCGACAAGTGGGGGAGTCCAGCCAACTTTTTATCATGGAAATTTCCTAAAAACTGTCTTTGCTTTAATCTAAAGTAAAAAACTTCAATGATATATCTGTAATTTGACAACAATCAAAAGCTGTAAGCAAAGATAGGACATCTCAACATATATGCTTATTGGACATCTCAAAAGCTATAAGCAAAGATAGGACATCCAAACATATGAACCTTTCGATAAGTTCCTATATTATTTACAAATTATAAGATAACTCCGTCTCGTATAAGAGAATACAATGCACTATCAAACCCTACAATTTATGTTGATCAGTTGTATGTCAACGAGCCGAAACTTGAGGTTTGGATTCGATTCGAATAAAAGTGGTTCGAACTTTTTTTGGTATCGAGTTTTTGCTTGGTCAAAAAATCTAGGTTTGATCCGAACTTTCGATTCGAGTCTTATCGAGATGGGTCGAGCCAAACTTTAGCCGACTCTTGACTTTTTTATTTTTGTTTTTCAATCTGCCTGTAGGCCTATCACAAGTTGCTTGTTGCAAAAAGGCAACAGGCGTTTAGCTGCTTAGTTTTTTATTTTAATTTTAACGCCCGGTTCGTCATGTGGTAAAAAATGGCCCGTGACATAAGGCTCGAGCTCAGGTCAACGCCCCAAAAAGGGGCTCGACAAGAATTTCGGTTCTGGCTTTTTCTGGGCCCAGCCACTAACTGTCCGAGTCAGCGAGCTAAATTAACACCCTAATCAATTGTCTCGATTTGGAATGAATTTATTAATGATTTAATTTATAAAAGTAGATAAAAATAAGCGATGAAAAAGTAAATAATACTTATGGAACTATTAGAATATGTGATTGAAAATGAAGTTTGATAATTTGTAAATAATTTATAATTTTTGCTTAATGCGGGCTAAATGTGTTCTTCTCAATGATCTCATTACTTTTTATTTGTTACGAAACAGAATTACATAAACAAAAATTCATTTTCAAACTCTATTCTATAATTGAATTAAATTCAACATGCTACATTTATCAACATTACAAAAATAATTAAAAATACATAGATTATAATAGAAGAATGTAAAAGAAAGATAGATCATGATTCCCTCCAATGAATAATGATAAAAAAAATAAGCAAGATCTGCTTTTTACTGCCTTGAAAAATCAACGGGATTTGAATAAACGGGGCTGACAGCCATAGCTGTAACTCACTTTAAAGAATCTCTTAATTTCTAACTTTTCTATTTACACAATAATTAGGGATTTTTCAACCATTTTTTCCATGACAATGACTCTAAAGTCAAACTTAAGTCCCTGTAGTTTAAAATTTAAATTTTAATCTAAATCAAAGTCAATAATTAATTTTAAGTACATATTTTATAGGAAATAAAATTTTTTAATCACATATTTCCTTAACTATTAAAAAAATTTGTAAAAAAATTGATTTTAATCTCTAGCAAACAAGAAATAAGTTGCAAATTGTAAGGGACGTAGACTTTGCCCCTCTTTGACAACTATTAAAAAGAACATTTTTTTCTTATACTCAATTTTCAATAACGCATTATCACATTAAAATATTGTGCACGTAAATCTAAAAAAAATCATACTTTTTATTCACATTCTCTGAAAAAATATTACAAAACTCATTTTCCAAAAATAAAAACTCATTAAGATGATTGTAAAACATTAGAGGTATTTTTTGATTAATTAAAAAGATTTTTGATTAATTCTTATCATGTGAGATTGTTTTAAAATTAATAAAAGGGAGATACTTTTATTTATTCTAATCATATGGAAAACTTTGAGATAGGATTTGATCCAACTTATTTTCAGTTACATTTAAGTTGTATAAATCTAGTAAAAAAAAGAACTTAATTAATTTATGTGAATTTAAAATAAATTATTTTAATCTTTTATGTATAAATTCTGGTAATGAGATTTAAAATAATTATTTCCACAATGAGAAAGAAATTATAATTTCTATTTTTTTTCTAATATTTTAACTTTTGATTAAATGAAACACAATCTTATTGGTTCCATGTATGTTTAAAGAGTTTTATTGTCAAACATGCGATGTTATTTCATTCATAAAACATGCGGTGTTTTCAAGCCTTCGATTAATCTAACTCAATACTACTTCTTAAATGAACGAGATCTTACTATACAAACCATTTAACTTTCCACTCTAAGGGGGGTGTTTGTTTTTTATTTGAGAATTGATTCTCAGATCAATTCTTATTTTCAATCACATATTTTTCAATAAAATAATATTTTCCATCACATCAATAATTTTTTTTTCTTTTTCAACCACACGTTTTCCATCATATCACTATTCAAAAATCAATTCTTCCCCAAAAATCTCTACCAAATAAGCTCTAAAATTGGAGTAAAAAATAAAAAATAAAATAAAATAAAAATTGAAAATTGAAAATTGAAATAGGGTTCAGTAAAATTGATAATAATACTAATAATAACTACTACTATTATTAAACCAAGCGAGGGATGGACCCGGGGTGGGGATGGGCTGCCAGCGATTGCAGCGTGTTTTGCGCTGCATGGGAATCATATAAATATATTGGCCACGTTTCGGCTCCTTAATTCACGAGATTTAACTTTCAAATCGCATCCAATGCTTTTTTTTTTAAAAAAAATAAATCCATTCTCTGACATTTGCAGTTGATATTTCGTAATAGGATGTCCATTCAATACAATTTTGAGTCAGCATGGTGTAGACATGCAAAGCTGAGTTAGACTGTTTGTCTATTGCGTGTCAATGTCATTTTCAGCTCCTGTTTGTTAAATTAATTTTTAGTTATATATTTAAACGATAAAATATTTTGTACATAAATTCAATTTTTTTTAATTCTTTAATTACATTTTTTAAAAAAAAACATTTTCCCTCCAAACAGGGAAACTAACATAAGCTCAATTTTAATTTGAATTTATGTGTGAATATAGAATTATACCAATTGGTTAGATGAGAAATCTTAAAAAGCATGAAAATAGTAAGGTAAATTTTAAAAATTTGAAGTTCTTAATTGATTTTACTTCCTGCAAGCGAGATCTGTCCAAACATATGCAAAGAACTTGGCATTAGTATCTCAATTTCAATTCAAACATATATAAGCACATAGCGTACCAAAATGCTACTTTCGATACTTCTTCGGAGAGAAAGTACTAAGTGTAGAAAAATTGTGATGATAATATATAATTTACAAAAAAAAAATAGCGAGCTATGCACTTCATAAATCTTATTACGATATAATTAGCCTTGCACTGATGTTTACAAGATAATGGAGATGTGGCTTTGAAGATATAATACTTTATTTTGAGATTAATGTTGAATTCTAAGCATGGATTTACAAAAAAAAAGAAACTCACGCAGAAAATGTAAATATGAACTTTGGTAACTCCAAAAAATGTACCTCAAATGTGGCAAACAGATTTCAAGGTCTCTCACGTCCATGCAAGCCTCATTCCTGCACACTTGCATAAACCGTTAGTCACACGTGGCTTCCTTCGGTGGAGGTGGAGTTGATTGTGCACATTCTGACGGTTAAGTCAGTTGGGAAAGTAAACATATGAATGTGTGAGAGATTTAGACATGACTTTTCAATGTAAAAAGGGAATCGACTTTGGGGAGTAACAAATAAAACAATGATATGTCAAAGTTATAACTTGAGAGTCTAAACTTGCATTACCTTCAAATGGCAATAAGTGTA